CCTTTCCTTCAAACACAGCACTGAGTTGGTTTATAGTAAAAATAAAACAAAGTTATGGAGATAGTGTTCATATCCCGCTGCTTCAAGGAGTGTCCCTGTGGGTGCTCCACTTTAGGTGACTCTGCACCTCTACGCTTGTAATCAGAGATTTTTAGCAGCAGTGCCTGGTTGAGTCGCACATGCACTGTTCCTATCTTGCGCCACCTCAGGCAGTTACATAGCGCTGTGCGACCAACCCCACTCAGTTCCTTCTCTACTGCCCTCGGTTTGATGGCACACTGCAGCACTTCTGTACTTTAGCTTTCTCTAGTTTTAACTTTACAATATTAGTTGGTTAGTAGTTAGTCAATAGTTACTTACCCTTCCCTGTTTGTTTTCTTAAAAAACAAACAAACAAAAAAACCACCTTTTTTTCTTATCGTAGGAATTTAAGTTTCAGTTGTTAGGACACCCTTTAGTGTAACATAGTTACCCTCCATCATGGGAGAAACCCTACTTTGAGGGGCATGCCCGGCTTCCTGGGTTTTAAACATTGCCTGACTAGCGATTCCTCAATCCTGGTGTCTGATGGGCACTCACAGCGTGTCTGCTGCCTCGGTGAGACACACCTCAAAAGTGCACCCACTGCCACAGCTTGAAACCCTGTGCCAGGAAGACGAGAGACTTGCAGCTAAAACTTCTCATGATGGAGAAGTCTTTACGCTACACATCCAATCCGGGATCACAGACCCTTCCGGGGCAGTGGTTTCCTATGGTGGCATCTGACAGAGGTTCTTTTCCACGCTCTCCGGGGAAGGAGCATTCTGCCAAGAAGGCAGCAAAGAAGCAGGTTTTGACCTCCCCTCCTTGGGAATTTGCCAAAAAGCAGTGTTCCCTGACTTGATAAATCCCGTTGGTACCAACTGCATGGAGACCTTCCATCTCTGAGATAGTGGAACCATCTGGTACCATGGGTATCTCACAAGCAAAAGACCCTAAATAGGCTGGCTTGGAAAAAGGCAGTAAGAGGAGACCTACAATCCCTGCCTCGGTACTGTCGGAGCCGCTCAAACATGCAACACCGAGCATCTTGACAACGCTACAGACTATGGCACCACCTTCTGCCTCTGCAGTGCATAGCGCACGAAAGGAATCAGTACCACCAACCCCACCAATGCTCTTAGTACGGCAACTGTTTCTCCACCACAAAGATCTTCTGGTCTCCTCACAACCAGCCACCTCACTCCAGAACGCTTGGTACTGAGCCATCTTACTACACCACCCAGATCAGTTCCTCCTTTATCTAGTGATGAGGATGAAGGTGAAATATACTCCTCCCATCACTCCTCGCCTATCCACGCAGCTATTAGACCAGATCCACCAGAACACCATAAATATCACCCAGGACCTGTACCAGTCTTTAAGGAACAAGACTGGTGCAGGCACCCATGGATGCCACTGCCCATGCCATTTCTACCAGAGTGGCCTTAAGAACATAAGAACGGCCATAATGGGTCAGACTGAAGGTCCATCTAGCCCAGTATCTTGTCTTCCAACAGTGGCCAATGTCAGGTGCCCCAGAGGGAATGAACAGAACAGGAAATCAAGTGTGATCCATCCCCTGTCGTCCATTCCCAGATTCTGGCAAAGAGAGGTTAGGGACACCATCCCTGTCCAGCCTGGCTAATAGCCATTGATGGACCTATCCCCCAAGAATTTATCTAGTTCTTTTTTGAACCCTGTTACAGTCTTGGCCTTCACAACATCCCCTGGCAAGGAGTTCCACAGGTTGACTGTGCGTTATGTGAAGAAATACTTCCTTTTATTTGTTTTAAACCTGCTGCCTATTAATTAAATTTGTTCTTGTGTTATGAGGAGGAGTAAATAACATTTCCTTATTTACTTTCTCCACACCAGTCATGACTTTATAGACCTCAATCATATCCCCCCTTAGTCGTCTCTTTTCCAAGCCGAAAAGTCCCAGTCTTATTAATCTCTCCTCATATGGAAGCCATTCCATACCCCTAATCATTTTTGTTGCCCTTTTCTGAACCTATTCTAATTCCAATATATCTTTTTTGAAGGATTTATATAGAGGCAATATATTTTCTGTCTTATTATCTATCCCTTTCTTAATGATTCCCAACATTCTGTTCGCTTTTTTGACTGCCACTGCACATTGAGTGGATGTTTTCAGAGAACTATCCACAATGACTCCCAAGATTTCTTTCTTGAGTGGTCACAGCTAATTTAGACCCCATCATTTATTTTTATATATATAATATATATATATATATAGGGAGAGGGGTGGGTGGGTGGGATTATGTTTTCCAATGTGCATTACTTTACATTTATCAACCTTGCATTTTGTTGCCCGGTCACCCAGTTTTGAGAGATCCTTTTGTAGCTCTTTGCAGTCTGCCTGGGACTTAACTATCTTGTATCCTATGCAAATTGTGCCACCTCACTGTTTACCCCTTTTTCCAGATCATTTATGAATATGTTGAATAGGACTGATCCCAGTACCGACCCCTGGGGGACACCACTATTTACCTCTCTCCATTCT